TAATGTTCTTTACAGCCGTTTCACGTCGTTTGAAGGAGCACTCTGAGGACAAGAGAAAGTTGCCCATTCTGATCTTCCCTGAGGGCACGTGCATCAACAACTCCTGTGTGATGATGTTCAAGAAGGGCAGCTTTGAGGTAAGAGTTTATGGTTTTAAAACTTGTCATCAAATATAACTTTGTGATGGAAATCGCAGGTGGGCGCAACCATTTACCCGGTGGCAATCAAGTACGACTCTCGCTTTGGTGATCCCTTCTGGAATAGCGCCAAGTACGGCTACAGCAAGTACCTCCTCATGATGATGACCTCCTGGGCGATTGTTTGCGATGTTTGGTAAGTTTAAAGGGGAGTGCACTAGGTTTTCAATATATTTAAACTTTTGATTTGCTGGCACAGGTACCTCCCACCGATGACCCGAGAGGAGGGCGAGAGCGCCATTGAGTTTGCCGCCCGCGTCAAGGCGGAGATTGCCACTAAGGGCGGTCTGGTGGAGCTGGACTGGGACGGACAGCTGAAGCGACAGAAGGTGAAACCCGAATGGGTGAAGATGCAACAGCTGCACTTTAGTCAGACACTTGAAGTGCCACCATCGCCACCCACACCGGCTGCCAACACCACCGAAGAAGAAAAGACCAAGGTCGACTCCACGACTGATGAGAAGGTGCCACCAGTGGCCGAGGACGCCGGCATTGATGTGCTCACCAGGACGGCCGAAGTGGAGGTCAAGTAGACCGGAAAACTGAAGGTCGATCAGTAAGTTGGTTTGATCAGATCAGATAAAATACTCATCGCTACCACCACATTGTCATTCATTCGCCCTCATCACCTTCAACTCCACTTAGTGATATTATTCTTGTTCCCACTCTCTCCTCTTCTGTGTTTATCTGCGCTGACATATCTGCGTAGCGTGCTGCGGCTGCTCCCATTGTTTGCTCTTTTTTTCCCAATCTCTCTCTCCTCTTGTGATCAGCAATGATGTGCTTGTTGATAAGACATAATAATAATTTATTGAACAAATGATAATAAGAATAAAATAGTAGTTTCGCGGTAAGAGCCAGCGCATATACTTGGTAGTTATAAGAAGTGGTGGTAGTAGGGTGGAGGCTTCGATTGCTGCAACTGAATGCATCGAGTATCACATGTGAGAGTGAACAAGTGTGGTGAGTGAANCTTTTTCCCAATCTTTCTCTCCTCTTGTGATCAGCAATGATATGCTTGTTGATAAGACATAATAATAATTTATTGAACAAATGATAATAAGAATAAAATAGTAGTTTCGCGGTAAGAGCCAGCGCATATACTTGGTAGTTATAAGAAGTGGTGGTAGTAGGGTGGAGGCTTCGATTGCTGCAACTGAATGCATCGAGTATCACATGTGAGAGTGAACAAGTGTGGTGAGTGAACAGCACAGGTAAAGGGGGAGGAAATGGAGGAGGGCCAATGGTGAGAAAACAATAGTTAAATGACTAAGAGTGAGATTGGGCACTGACAGAGTGAGAGAGAATTGCCACTTTTAAACAAATTAGTTAAGTTTGCTTGTGTTTGCCTGTGAATCACGCCATTTGTCAATTGACCTACCAGTGCAGGCACAAGAAGTGATCAGTAGGTGGGTGGATTTGAATCAGTGAACAATCACACATCCTTTTCCACTACTAGGTGAGCTGTGGTGGGGACTGCCGCGACAGGCCAGCAGTAGCTGCAGAAGCAACAGCAGCAGCACCACTGGCCGCCGCAGCCGCATCGTAGTCGTGAACACAGTAGACATCAATGAAGATGATCGCCAGCAGGGGCACCAGGAGGATGAAGGCCGCCAGCATGAAGCACAGCCCGGGGTAGATGTCAATGGAGACGGCAAAGACCATGGAGTAGAAGACGGAGGCAATGCCGGGCGTCACCGCCTCGACGATGGCCAGCAGCGCAAAAAGCTTGCCGCGCTCGTCGTCGTCGATGATCTTGGAAAGGCGAGATCGTACGCCAATGAAGGAGAGCGGCGCCAGGCAGCCAAAGATGAAGGAGAGGTAGAGGCCGGGCTCGTGCTGCCAGGAGCCGCGCAGTGTGCACTGCGCCAGCAGCGACACAATGCCGATAATGGCCAGGCGCATGTCGCCCAGCTTGAGGCCGCGCACAAAGAAGGGCAGAACAAAGCCCATCAGCAGCAGCGTGCCCACCGTAGCGGAGGCGGTGACGGTNCTTGCCGCGCTCGTCGTCGTCGATGATCTTGGAGAGGCGAGATCGTACGCCGATGAAGGAGAGCGGCGCCAGGCAGCCAAAGATGAAGGAGAGGTAGAGGCCGGGCTCGTGCTGCCAGGAGCCGCGCAGGGTGCACTGCGCCAGCAGCGACACAATGCCGATAATGGCCAGTCGCATGTCGCCCAGCTTGAGGCCGCGCACAAAGAAGGGCAGCACAAAGCCCATCAGCAGCAGCGTGCCCACCGTAGCGGAGGCGGTGACGGTGGAGTAGAACTTGGGCGGCCAGCTGTACAGCTTCTCCACGTACGGCCAGAGAATGAAGGCGGTGTTCATGTAGGTGAACATAATGAGAGCCGTCACCGAAAAGAGCAGCCAAATCTGCCCTCGGCCCCAGTGCTCACGCTTCCGCGTCAGCGTCACAAAGAGCTCCCGGACGTTGTTCACCTCAAAGAGGCGGCAAAACTGCTGGCAAATCTTGGTGGAGTGGTAGGAGATGCGCGTCAGTGATATGTACGACGATTGACTGTAGATGAGGTATTCCTGGTCGTGGTCGGTCAGCGACTGGTCAGCTGCGGTGGTCATCAGGTCGGCCTCCACCGGGGTGCTGCTGCGATTGGTGTGATCACCGGTGAACTGCGTCGTCGGGTGAATGATGATGCCACCCGAAGAGGAAGAAGAGGAAGGAGGGACTGCAGCATTGTCATCAGCAGAGGGGCTAGTTGAAAGGCCGTTGTTATTGTTTTCGTTGATCACCAGAATCACCCAAATTATGCCGGCAATTTGAGAGCAAAAACTGACAACAAAGACGGGTATGTAGTTGTACAGTTGGAAGAAGGCCTTCTCATTTCCGTTGCCCAGTATTTGCCCGCCGATAAAAGAGCCGATTGGTTGAGCTGAGGAGAAAAAGTGTTTGAGCAAAAATTTCAATCATTCACAAAAGGGCATTTACCGATCCAGAAGCAGATTTCGACAATGGCAAATCGGGTAGACCGCGTCGTTTTGTCACTGGTGGCAGAGCAGTAGGCGTAGATGGCCATCAGTGTGGCGATGATGCCACCTGATAAAGCCGAAGGAATAAAAGCAAAGAGAACGATGTAGGCGCCTACGGTGAAAAAACAAAAAAAGTTGTACATTGGACATCCATCACAAACAACTGGTAAAGAAAGAAACCTACTGGCATTAAAGTCCGCCGCGTTGATAATGAGAATGAAGGACTCTAGAGCGGCAGCCGAGGCGCCGGCGATCATGATAAACTTGCGTCCATGAACGTAGGTGTCACTCCAGGGCCCGAGAAAGACCGCCCAGACGATGCAGGGCAGCGTGGAGAGCAGCGTCCGGTAGAGGGTAATGTAGGCGCCGCTGGTGATGATGTTCGACTTGATCGACTCGGCGCCGTGGTCAAAGTTGGCGCTGTTGATGGAGATGCAGAAGGCCGCCGTCTGGTCGTAATCAACGCGACAGAGCTTATCTTGCACTAGCTGCGAGACGGCCATCGCCGACAGCGAGTAGCCGAACATGTACAGGAGGATGAATGGTTCCACGCGAAGCTGCTGAACGCTGAGGTACTTGCGCCAGGACTGCTGCTGCTGCTCGCCATTTGCGTCCACTCGGGCACCGTCGGGGTCCATTCTCGCCTGGTGGGGGAAAGAAAGAACGGGGACAAAATAGGCCGATTAGAGAAAGGGCTGAAACAGTGTGCTGATGATGATGCCTGGACGGTGTGAACAACAAGGACAACAACAACAACAATAACGACAGATTCAGTTGTTGTTGACACCCTCGTCGATTTTGTCGTCGTCGCATGGCTGAAAAATGTCACGCACAATTAATTGGCCCACTGACAAGTTGGGGTAGAGTCGTCGTGCTTTATCCACCGCCGCACTGAACACGCCAGCCATTGTGCAAGCGAGAGAGCAATGTGAGAAGGAGAGAAAAGAAAATAACTGCCGAGAAATCACATAGGTCTAAACTGTTTTATGCAGTTCCAAAGTTGATCGACACAGCTCCGTAGTTGGGTAGTTTGATAGAAACTGATAAGAGGGAGAGGGGGAGCAGACAATCCCTTAGAAGTTTACACATGCTCTTCAGAGCTAAGAAAGCTGGTTAGTTGTCGGGCGCGCAGTTATTGCGACAATGTACACCAGCAACACTGCAAACACCGTGCCGTATGTTTGAACTGACTGGCACTATCGACAGCTGATGGTAGTGGTGGTTGTGGTCTCCAAATGGCCAAACACAACGCGACAACAAAAGTAACAGTCAAGTCGTGGTGCAGAGTTCATTATTACGGTCGATCGTTGTGCAGCTTTCTAAACGGTGGCTGCGGTAAGCCAGACGTAATATTGAAAATCATATTGCTCACTTTTTTCTGTTTCGCTGTTGCCAGTGAGGCAGAATGACAAATATACCACCAGGAATGAGATTNCTGTGCAGTTTTCAAAACGGTGGCTGCGGTAAGCCAGACGTAATATTGAAAATCATATTGCTCACTTTTTCTGTTGCGCTGTTGCCAGTGAGGCAGATTGACAAATATACCACCAGGAATGAGATTGCAGTAATATCAAAGGCAAGTGCAAGTGGAAGAGAGAAATATGCAAGCTAGCACCTGGTTCAGGTTGATTCAATTTAATCAAGCGACACAAATTGGAATCTCATTGATAGGGCCATTAATTATTGTAATTTGACTGAAGTTGGGTCAAGTTCAAACTGATAGAGAAAGTGGTAGTAAAAAGTGAGCGATTACGTCTCCTCAACAGAATTGTCATCACAGACTGTGGTCAAGATCGTGGTAGATAGAGATAGGAGGAGATTAGAATTAAAGACAACGGATCTGCTACGTACCTCGAGAGGTCGGTGATCATCCACGAGATAGAGAACTGCGATGCAGACTTCTTTTGCCTACACAGACTGCAAATCAGATGACAATCTCCTGCCTTGGCGACGGCTGCAGCCTCTTCCGTCCCCTGGTTAGCAGCAGTGATATAACTGCCAGAAATGATGACAACAATGATGCTGCATTGCTGCTGCCTGATGACCGGGCACACGCTGGACGGGTTTATTAGCCGAGGTAAAGGTGCTGCTGCTAATCAGGGAGATCTATCGCGGCGGCAGTGCTGCTGGGGAACAGAGAGCCACAAATCGTTCAAGTCAATCGAGATTACTGTTGTCTCCGCTGTTGTCTTCTCTGTTTTGATTACGTATTTTTTTGTTTTTAAAGTCTCCGTCTGCAAAAGGCCAGCCTGGCTTGAAATAGTGGCGGCTATTTCAGCAAAAAGCATCACAAAAGCGCATTGTCGCTCAGTCATTCGCTCTTTTTGGCTTGCTGGCGTCTTTTTGCCTCCTCAAATTTGCAAGATTTTTTTGTATTCTGAATTTCCTGAATTTCCTGTCACCCTCAAACGCCTCTGTCATTCTCTGCTCGGAATGGATCCCGAACAAAAGTTGCCAACAGAGGAGACTCAAGAGGACGGCTTGAACCAACAGGTACGACTTGTCACGCTTACAGGCCAACTTTTAGCTCACATTTTTTCCCAACTGTTCAGGTCAGTGATCTGAATCTAAACAGCAACGGAAATGAGAATGAGAATGGAAATGGCGTTACCGTTGATCAGGGCGGGGATGTTCAGCGTAAGTTTGCTTCATGATTGAGTTGAATCTTTAGTAAAACTTGTTTTTTCATTATAGCTACCGCTGCCGAATTCTCAATGATGCGAAAGGTTTTGAGAAACAAACTGCTGCATCATACTCAAAACAAGGTCGAAATTTTGCAGAAAGACCCCAACAATCCACTGTACTCGGTGAAATCTTTCGACGAACTGAACATTCCTGAGCCTCTCCTTCGAGGAATTTACGACATGGGCTTCAGTAAGCCGTCTCGCATCCAGGAGGCAGCTTTGCCTATTCTTCTTCATACTCCGTAAGGATCACTCATGACTTTAATTTTACTCTCAGTTTTACATTTACTTTTGCTTTCAATAGGCCGACCAATTTGATCGCCCAATCTCAGTCCGGTACCGGCAAAACTGCTGCTTTTCTTCTCGCCAGCCTTTATCGCGTCAAGCCAGAGGTGAAGGAGCCCCAAGTCATCATCCTGGCTCCGACCTATGAGCTGGCACTTCAGACTGGCGAGGTAGCTCAGCAGATGGCCAAGTATCGTCCGGAAATCACTATCAAGTACGTGATTCGCGGCGAAGTTTTGCCACGAGGCACTAAACTTCAGGACCACATTTTGATCGGCACTCCTGGAAAAATGATCGACTGGAGTTTGAAGTACCAGTTTTTCGACATTAAGAAAATTCGCGTTTTTGTGCTTGATGAAGCTGACGTGATGATTGACACACAGGGGCTTCGCGCCCAATCTGTCAAGATGAAGCAGTTTCTTCCCGAAAGTTGCCAGATGATGCTCTTCTCTGCAACTTACAGCGACGAGGTCATGGAGTTTGCTCGCAGCATCATCAGAGAGCCAGTGCTGATTCTCAAGCTGCGCGTCGAAGAGCAAAGTCTGGACAACATCAACCAGTACTACATTGATGTCAGTAATGAGCAGGAGAAGTACGAAGCTCTGACCAACATCTTTGGCACCATCAGCATGGGTCAGGCCTTCATCTTTGTTGAGACCAAAATTTCCGCTTCTAGGCTTGTTCAACAGCTCCGAAAGGTACTAGTTTTTATTCTTCTCATTGTCTTATGTCTACAGCTTACTTACTTTTGACCATTTACAGGACGAACACTCCGTGGGCCTGATTTCCGGTGATTTGACTGTTGAACAGCGAAATGAAGCGCTGAAACGTTTCCGAGAAGGACAGGAGCGCGTCATTGTGGCCACCAATGTGATGGCTCGAGGCATTGACATTGAACAAGTCAGCCTCGTCATCAACTATGATCTGCCAATCAACGTAGAAACCCGTGAGGTGGACTGCGAAACTTACCTCCACCGAATTGGTCGTACCGGTCGGTTTGGCAAGGAAGGCCTGGCTATTAACTTTGTGGACGGGTATCGCTCACGCGCGATGATTCAAGTGTTGGAGGAACACTTTGGCAAGCCGATCAAGAAGCTGGACGCCACTGATGTCGATGAGATTGAAAAGATTGGCAATGACATGTAAATTATTTTTCTCCCCGAACTCTCCAATACCAGCAATCTTTTCAGCCTTTTAACTCATCCACTAATCGGCTTTTCACTTTCATCCACATGTATGTGTTAAAAACAAAAAGCAAACGGATTTAATCCCAGGTCAATTAAGTCAATCGACGTCCATCTTTCCTAAGGACACACACTCACACTCACACAAGCACAGTTGATAATTTGTTACACTGCACCACCTCATTTCTACACAAAAAAATCTTTGGCCAAAACAAAAGCTCTGGTTTTGATGTGTGTGCTCTACCAAAGGTATTACCCGCTTACCAGTTACAGCAACACGTGCAGCTTTAAATAATGTGCCNTCACACAAGCACAGTTGATAATTTGTTACACTGCACCACCTCATTTCTACACAAAAAAATCTTTGGCCAAAACAAAAGCTCTGGTTTTGATGTGTGTGCTCTACCAAAGGTATTACCCGCTTACCAGTTACAGCAACACGTGCAGCTTTAAATAATGTGCCACACTCTTTGTGTCATGCTGAAGGAAAAGTTTCCAAGTCGTCTGTCTGATTGTGTGTGTGTGCCTGGCTCAAGCAGTGATGTTGGATTTGCACAAGATGTACGACCGGTGTCAGACAGCATCGATGATTAGATTGCTGCTGTCCACAGAAGTGTCTTCGAAGCAGCAGCAGTGGGGGTGAGTGGGGGAGGTGCGCAAGGACAGTCATCATCAACAGCAGTAATCGAGCACTTGTGATCGATTGATTGGCAGCATTGGTAACAGACTGCTGCTGCTGCTGCGGCACACACACTCCACAGAGCAGTATCACAGTGAACTGAACTGCAGTGCACTGTCTTATTCTTCGAATGGCGGGGGGAAGTAAAGCACCGCAGTAAGCAGCATTCTTGATGTTGACAGCAGTGCGACCACCAGGCCACAGTCTCCTCGAAGATAAGTGGAGAGAGAAAGAGAGAGCAATCGGCGGAAAAGCGGCACCGTCATCTTCGCTGCCCCAGCCTTATACAAAGCTACCCTGTACAAAGGATCACTACGGCTGTACGGGATCTTTTGCTTCGGCAGTTAGGCGAAGGANTTCGAAGATAAGTGGAAAGAGAAAGAGAGAGAGCAATCGGAGGAAAAGCGGCACTGTCATCTTCGCTGCCCCAGCCTTATACAAAGCTGCCCTGTACAAGGGATCACTACGGCTGTACGGGATCTTTTGCTTCGGCAGTTAGGCGAAGGAGAGTCTGCCGAAGAAGAGCTGCTGATAAGAGCTGCTGACGGCACCCGTCACACACTGCTTTGAAGAGGAAATGAACAGCACCGCACACTGGGCAGCGTCTCACACTTCGGCACAGTGATTCGCCTTGCGATCAATCGAATCGCATCATCTTCCGATCTGACACTCAGGAGGTGGTGGCTCGCGTCGTCATTACCACTTCGAGATACTTCGGTCGCACGTCAGCAGTGCGTTAATATGATCACCCCCACCCAACTTGTTAGTGTGTCTTACTTCTGTCTGATAAGACATCTTCTCCCCTCCCTTTCCCCTGATCCGCTTTCAGCGATATCGAATCGATAATAGGCAAATTGAAAGCCCACTAATGAAGGAGAGTAATCTGTTGCTGCTGTTGCTGATGATGGTTGAGGAGGACGCGCGCCAGCAGCGCATCGCANCACCCCACCCAACTTGTTAGTGTGTCTTACTTCTGTCTGATAAACCATCCCCTCCCCTCCCTTTCCCCTGATCCGCTTTCAGCGATATCGAATCGATAATAGGCAAATTGAAAGCCCACTAATGAAGAAGAGTAATCTGTTGCTGTTGCTGTTGCTGATGATGGTTGAGGAGGACGCGCGCCAGCAGCGCATCGCANAGCGGTGTCTCACACTTCGGCACAGTGATTCGCCTTGCGATCAATCGAATCGCATCATCTTCCGATCTGACACTCAGGAGGTGGTGGCTCGCGTCGTCATTACCACTTCGAGATACTTCGGTCGCACGTCAGCAGTGCGTTAATATGATCACCCCCACCCCACCCCACCCAACTTGTTAGTGTGTCTTACTTCTGTCTGATAAACCATCCCCTCCCCTCCCTTTCCCCTGATCCGCTTTCAGCGATATCGAATCGATAATAGGCAAATTGAAAGCCCACTAATGAAGAAGAGTAATCTGTTGCTGTTGCTGTTGCTGATGATGGTTGAGGAGGACGCGCGCCAGCAGCGCATCGCATCTCATCTGCACTTCTTCTCATTAGTGCCAATCTGCCGCCACCGCTGGTGCCGCGCACTCATCAGAATCGCGCACGTAAAGCACTCCACTACATTTTCAGCGGCGGCATATCCAATTACTGAGATCAAAACAACAGCACAACGTGCAGAAAAAATACCGTGCCCATCTTTGTCACCAAAAAGAAGTAGAAGAAGGGAAAACAGAAGTGCAGCAGCAGCATCAGCATCAACTCGACTGGCGCGTGAACGATAAAGTGACACCGCAGCATCACCAGCATCATCATCATCATCAGCACACACTTCAAGTGTCGTTGTCTCAGTCTCACTGCTTGAGATAGTTAAAGACCAGCTGTGCCTTATAAAGTCGCCCCACGGCGGCTGATCCGCTTCACTTACTTATAGACACACACACTCTAACTCGTAACCGTGCATTCCACTACTTCTTTTCTTTTCTCAATCTTTCTCAATTCTCCTTTTGTACTATTGTACCGTACTTCTTATACCGTGTTCACCACCAGTTGAATATACCTCTTGAGCAATTGTATTTAATACAGTATCCCCCCTAGTCGGCAATGATGAATTTTCAGTTAGTGCTGTGCACCTTAGCCACCATTCTCCTGCACTCAGTCGGCTCAGTGAACCATGTCCTTTGTCTGCAGAGAGTGGAGAGTGAAACCGGCGGCGAGACGACTTCAGGCGGGGAGGGAGGGCCAGGACCTGGTGGCTCTGCCCGCGAAATCACCACCATCAGCATTAACAGCAGCAGCATCAGTTACGTCAATCCATACCAGACATACCTGGTGCACCAGTGTACAACACGTGCTCAGCAGTCAGCGCCAAGACTGACGGTGAACGGAGACAGCAGCAGTAGGAGCTTCAGTTTGGCATCCACCCAGCAGCAGCCACCGTCTACACACTGTCCCTGTCCGTCGAAGTTTGGCTTCTTCTCTTCATTCTCCCTCTTCTCCCTTTCCGACAGCAAACACTTAGAAAAGGGCAGATGGCTACAGACGCCAGAGCGGGATTCTTCGTCGACACAGCAGTCGTCATCACCGTCGTCTTCGTTGCATCTCTCCGCCAACAACACCTATCATTTAGAAGCGAGGCCATGTGCCCCCATCAGCACCGGCAGCAGCACCATCACCGCGACCACCATCTCACAGCTGCAGAGCATCCGAAGAAGAAGAAGAAGAAACATCACCATCAGCAACAACCGAATTCGCAATATCCGCAGCAGGAGTATGCTCCAGCAGCAGCAGCAGCAGTACGGCAGCACATCAGACAGCAGCAGCAGCAGCAGCAGTGTCCTGGCACTCTCCCCACTGTTTCACCAGCACCACCACCATCACCTTCATCAGACACTGGAGCACCACTGGTCACCGGCCAATGTGGAGCTCTTTCAGGCAGTGGCCAAGGTGACCATTCTGGTGCTGCTGAAGTTGCTCATCAAGTACTACGTCCGAGGGTACTTCAAGGCGGCCATCAGCAGCAAGGCGCTCTTTGAGCTGCTCGACCTGACCAGCAAGGCGCTCACCATCGCCATCGCCAAGTGTGCCATCAAATGGGCGCTCTATCCGGCGTTGCGGACGGCCGCCAAGACGCTGCTCATCGCCTCGCTGCGCTCCCTCCTCAAGCCGATCACCAGTCCGCTGATCAAGGGCGCCAAAAAGCAGGGCGCCATTTCAGAAAAGCAGCCGCAGAACGGGCCGCCCCTGGCCAGCTCCTCGCTCAAGTTCGCCCTCACCCTGGGGGTGAAGGTGGTCATCAAGACGACCGCCCTGGAGATGCTGGTGCTGGTCTTTGAGAACGAGGCGACACAGCTGCCACTGCACCAGCTGATGGCTCGCGTGACGCTGATTCTGCTGGTGAAGATGGGCGCCAAGCGCGTCTGCAAGCTGGGCAAGCAGAGGGTCATCCAGCAGAAGGAGCTCAGCAGCAACAAAAAGTGCGATACCTCCTCCGACGACGACGAAGCAGCAGATGACATCAAAGGCAACAACAACAGCAGTGTGCCTGATACCTCTGCACCGGTGGATAAGATGCTCATGTTTGCCATTCAAAAGCTGGTCACCAAGTTGGTGAAAATTCCGGTGATAAAGATGCTTCTGTGAAGCGACAGCTGCAGCAGCTGACGAGTCTGGAAGACTCCTCAATCAGCGAGGCACGTCGATTGGCGCGTTGAGGTGTGTACGACACACACCAGTCAGCAAGTTGACGGCCGCCGATCTCTCCCTTCCAACCCTGCAAGTCACGTCAATCATCAGAACTCTGCTGTCGAGATTAGCAGAGACACACTGCTGCGCTCTGAGATGTGATACCGGCGGGCAAACCAAAGCGGCGAGCTCTCTCGAGATGTAAATGTGTGGTGTGTGATCCACTCAGTCACCCTGGCTCATTACGCAACTCGTTACTCCACTAACATGGTTCGACTTTGTAAATAATCCTCCCCCACTAGAGTACCGTAATGATACACTCTACTGCAATGATACTGTAAATAATAATTCCTGTAAATAGTAAAGAGCTACTCGTTTTTCGTCACTTCTTAACACCTTCTGAGTAACTCTCATATGACACGGCCGACTACAGCGGTACTCGTACAACTCACTTCATAGTTTTTATTTGTTTTCTCGTATAAAGCAGCTAATGAGTGGATATGTATGTGTGTGTGATAGGGGGTAAAAAGTCTGCTCGAGTGGTAACTGGCGCCGACTGGCACCAGTGATGAGGAGGAGTTCTCGCCACTCAGGTTGTGGTAACATGCACTGCATGCAGCATTTGTACATTACGACCATCAATATCAATTAGCCAAGGACTTGTCGTCGATTGCCACTGATTACCGGTGGTGGTGGCTGAAGGCGATCGACGCAAGGCTGCTGGCTTGATTTGTGGTTGGTAAAACCAAAAGCAAACTAAAGGATATCCCTGAGCGAAAGGGTTCAGTGTCATTCGAATTGGTTGCGCGAATGCATCACCAACCCGATTGCTGGGAGGAATTGAGTGAGTGAGATCTTGGAGGCGAGTGATTTTACAATGGCACAAAACAAAAAGGAAATATACAATGACTACAGCTAATCTATCTACAAAATAGAAAAACTTTCCAACAAAATACAGTGCAAAAGTATAGAGAAACTGATAAAACGATAAAACATAATCAATAAAAATAAAAGAGGAGGAAGACTATTCTAAATGTAACAACAAAAAGTTGTGCATCGTGGTCATGAGTACTACCTGTAGAGTTTGGAACATAATACTGTCAGTTTGTCAGTCGACTTTCCCCCACCTTACACGACTTCTCGCTCCGAGTCATCGGTCTGAACCCTAGGCGAGTTTTGCCGAAACGACGACTGAGATCTGCTTCGGCTTGACTTCATCTCTGTGATGATCTGGTGGACAAGGAAAATGTCATATTAAAAAGTATGCTATCCTTCAAAAAGCTAAGCTGCACCTACCTCCTTTTCAAAGCTAGAACTAGCGTCAATTAAACTCTGCGCCTTCATCTGCGCCAGCTTTAGCTTCCTCTCTATCGCCTCATTGACATTGCCATTGTAGTCGAGCTGGTGCTGATGATGATGATGATGGTGACCGCCGGAACTGTCCGACTTGAAGGACCCCGTCTCTACCCTCGTCATTCGGTAGTCGGTAGTAAAGTCCTCCCCCGACTGTCTGGTCGCATTGAGGTCCCCCTCTGAGCTGGCCGTCTCAATTAGATTCTCCAGGCCAAGGACCTTCTGCTGAATTTCCATGTGATGCTGTTCGAGCTGCTCCAGGCCGCGGGTCACCTTGGAGAAGTTCATCTTGGTGCTGGCGCCAATGGTGGTGGAGCTGCTGAGCAGAGCAGTCGGGTCGGAGAGCAGTCGCGAGGCGGAGAACAGCGACGACTGGTCGGCGGCAGTGGTGTTCGTGGCCACGGAGACGGTGGTCGCCGGTGAGGGCGTCCGTCGCAGATGCGTCTGCGTCTGCTTGTACTGGTGGTGACTGGCCAGTGGTCCCATTTGCACAGCACCACCACCACCGCCACCACCACCAGCACTTCTCGAGGAGGTGTACAGGTCCTTCTCCAGGTTGACGTAACTTCGCTCCACTCGCCGCTTCTCTCGCTCCAGGCTGGCAATCTGCTCGCGAAGCTCCTCATTCTCCCGCTTCGTCCGCCGCAACTCGGCGTCCTTTCGCTGTTCAGAGTCGTACTGCTGCTGCTGAGAGAGGGTGCTGTACTTTTGATCGGAAGTGAGGGTTTCATTTTCGCTCTCCAGTGTGGCAATTCGCTTCTGGTGACGGGAGATTTGCTCATTCAACCGTGCATTTAGATCTTTCATCTTCTTGAGAGTTTTACTGGGGAAAAAAGGTAAAGTTTTTAGTACTAAAAAACATCTACTCCCAAAATTACCGTATTTACCTAGCCAAATCAAGTGAATCCCTTAGTGCACTTTCCGATGCTGCCAGCTTTTTATTTTCGCTTTCTTTATCTTCAACTTTCTTCTCCACCAAACTGAGCTGATGCTTTAAATCGACGCATGTCAACATCTCCTGCTCATGCTTAATTTTATACTGATTCCGCTCGTTTAAACAGTCAGCTAGGGTCGTTTTGAGCTCATTATGTTGATCCCTCAAAGCTCGTCTCTGATCTTCAGTCTCCCTTTTGAATCGCTTTAGTTGATCGATTTCATTTTGTAGTCTGAAAATCAAAATTCGATTAGCACTGGGAAGTTCAACTTGAAAACACAAAAAACTTACTCGCTAACTTCCGCATGACTAGAGGATAGTTCGCTCTTCAAGTTGCTAATTTGAGAGGCCTTCTCAAGGCGGGCCGCTTTCTCTGCCTCAAACTTTTTCGTTAGACCGTCTAGTTGATCCTCCAAAACGGAGCACTTTCCTTTAAATTGACTGAGTTCTACATTCGTTCTCGTCAAATTATCTTTCTCCTTGATCAACTCCTCTTCCACTCTTCTTCGCTCCTCTTGCGCCTTTCTCAGATCGTCCTGTGATGAAGAGTATTTGATGTTCGACTCATTTAAACTGTCATCAAGCTCCTTGATCTGTTCCTCAAGACGGATCAACCTCGTCTGCATTGTTTCCTTCTCCTGCGTGAGAATCGACACCCGTAGCTGGTGTTCTTGCTCTGACAAAGTGAGCTCACTTGCCTTTTGTTCAAAGTTTGTTTTCAGAGACTCACATTCAGTTTGAATTGCTTTGATGGTTTCATTTAGTTGGGTAACCTTTTCTTGATGTTCAACCTCAACCCGTTCCTTTTCCTCATTTAGCTCAGTCAATGTCACTTCAAATGCATTCTTTTCACTGGTAAGCGTTGTCTCCAGTGCCTTAATGTGGTTATTACAGCTTTCCGTTTCTGCTTCAAGTTCAGAGACATTTGTCCGTAACTCTTCAATTTTGTTCTTGCTTTCATCTAGTGATACAGTGAGCGACTGAATCATTTTGATCTTTTCATGCTTTGCTTTCTCTTCCTGTTTTAATTGATCTCTTATCTTGCTCAATTCTTCTTGCGACTTGAAGTAACTTTCCTGAGATTCGGTATACTTTGAGTTCAGATCAATATTCAATTTGTTTAATTTTTGAACTTCCAAGTTTGAAGTGATAAGTTCCTTTTTCAGCTCTTCGATTTTACGGCTATCCTCAGCTTGGCTGGCAAGGTATTTGCTGCGCTCTTCGTCAAACTCGCGTTTTTTCTTTTTGATTTCATTGTTAAGCAAAGTCTCCTTCGAGCTTAGCTTTTTGTTTTCACTTTTCAAAGTGGAAATCTCCTTTTCTTTCTCTTCAATAGTATTTTCAAGTTCTTGCCTGACCAAGTCCGCTTGCTTTTTAGTTTCTGCAATTTCTTCATCTTTTAAACTTATTTGTTCTCGATAAGTCTTTAAATCGGCTGTCTTTCTTTTTTCGAGTTCTATGTATTTTTCTTTTGCTTCATCAATAAGAACTCTAAATGTAAAAAATGTTAACAAAAGCCTAACTGATAAAAAGCTACTTACTTGAACCTCTCTTCACACAAATAATGCTTATTGCGAATTTCACGAATACTTTTCGCATAAGTATCTTTCAAATTTTTTCTTTCAACATCAAACCGATGCAAAAGATCAACTTTTGAGTTGATAACACTTTCGAATGCCGACTCAAAATCCTTAATTGATGCTTCAGTTCTCTGTTCAAGAGACTCTTCCAATGTTTGCAGTGATTCTAAGAGTTAAATAAAATTAGAGGATTTAACAAACAACAGAGCACAAACTTACGTGAATGATGGGATTCACCAGATGTTAGATTGGCTTGTTGACTGCAGGACAAAGCAGGATGATGATCATCACCAGCCATTCCGTCGTTGGCTTCCATTTTGCCTCAAAACTTAGCTTTGTTCATGTCAGAACTAAAGTTGAGGCAGAAGTTAACTGGCTAGTATCATAATCTTAGGCAGTCTGAGGCAGGAGATCTATCTAGCGATGACGTGCGCTAGAGTAAATATTATATAACAAAAAAAAGTTGAGCCAAATAATGATTGGAGGATGAGAACTAGGTGCAGTAACAGACGAACTGGCACTGTAGTGGTTGGCTTTAGAACCTTCTGCCGAGGTGTCTGCAGACGAAGCCGGCGAATGGTGGGTTGAGTGAGATCACGCTATAGATCACAGTCGTGTCACCGCAGTGTCGCACTGTCTGGGGTTGCTGACATGAGGTAACAGCAGCAGTAGAGGCAGCAGCAAAAAGTTTGGTGAAACTGACATTTCATGGAAACAAAAGTATCCGAAACGGCCTAATTGCCTAGCTTGAGGCAGGAAGAACTCGTAAACAGAAGCAGGTAGACGAGGGCAGCAGACTGCAGTAGTCAAGGAAACGAGGCGAGGAGAGAGAAGGGAAGACGGTGGTAAACAATGGAGGCAGGGCAGCGAACAGACGCAAAGGGCTCCACTAAATGCTGGTCACTGAAGAGAGGGGTGATGAGGGTGATAGTGGCGGTGGTGATGATGAAAGTACCCAAACTCCATTCGAAAAGATAATCTCCTCACACTTTTGCCGCAGGTGGTCCGCCGGCTGAGAACCACAACAAACAGTTGCGCGCGCGTTTTTCAGCTATTTCGCACACACCGGGTGCAAATAGCGATATTCAAATATGAAAATCATACAGAATTTTTAATTTTCATTTCTTTATTAGCAAATACGTGAGACACATTGTTTTGTTATTGGGTAATACATAATTGCAACCGGTGTGTTGGTGGTAGAAGAAGAGGTGGCGTGCTACCAAGGTGGTGCCAATGTATCAAAGAGCGCACCGCAAGGTAACACACCTTAAATTAATTAATCATAATAATAAAACAAGTGACGAGAAGTGTGTTTGTTTGTGTGGGTGTGTGTAAGAAGGAGATGTGTGACAACAACNACAAGGTAACACACCTTAAATTAATTAATCATAATAATAAAACAAGTGACGAGAAGTGTGTGTTTGTTTGTGTGGGTGTGTGTAAGAAGGAGATGTGTGACAACAACAAACTCTCAATGCCAGTGAAGTAATCGGTAATAGGTTAATAATAATGGGGTTGCCTACCTAGTTGTTGGAGGGAAGAACGTATCGTACATAGGGCACCTCAACGTCCTCGTCCATCTCATCATTGCAGCACAGCTCAAAGACGAGCGACTTGACGTGCGGCTCAATCGGTCGCTTGCTGATTCGCTTCAGCACCTCTGTCATCTTCAGGTTGACGCGCTCGGCGAGCTTCTCCTTGGAGAGGAAGAAGGAGTACAGCAGTGTGTTGCCCTGCGAGATCATGGTAATCGAGAGGCGGTGCTTCTCCTTGAAGTAGTCGATAAACTCCTTCAGGGTGAGCTCGCCCTTCACCTCAAAGCGATCCCAGATGGTGAACTCGTGGTCGTAGTAGCGCATCTTCGGCACCTCAATCGGCGTGGAGAAGCCAAAAAAGGGCAGCGCCAGGTTGATGAAGCCATTCTTGTACGGCTCCAGACTGCTCTTGAATCCCTGCGCCAGCTTGTACAGCTCCACAAAGACCAGACCGGAGACAAGAGCGGTGGTGGTGGCGATGGCGGGAATGATTCGCCCGGCAATGAGCTTGCTCTTGTGGCGGTCAGCCGGCGGAATCTCGTAGTTTTCAGCGCGCAGGTTGCTCGCTGCGACGATAAAGTCAATGTGAAAGTTGGTGTCGTCGTCCTTCTCAAACTCAATCGGACAGATCTTGACGCCCGCCAGCTCGGCCACACTGGGCAGCTCCGTCTGCAGCTGGGTAAACTGCTCATTCGCGTCCAGGTGGTTGCCCGTCGAGTTGTTGTTCAGCTCGGCATCGTTGACGGCAATCTTCAGATTCTGCTTCGGCGTAAAGACGGGAATCTCCTCGGGGGGAATGCTGGCCAGGATGCTGGCCACCTGGTTGCGATCACCGACCTGGGGGACGTTGTAGAGGAAGGCGCGCAAGTTGGCCGCCGCCACGACGTAGTCCAGGTGCAGTGGATTGTTCACGTCAAACTCAATCGGGTGAGGGCACTTCTTCGGTCCGGACCAGAAGGGAGCGCCAGTTGAGGTTTTGTAGTCGGGTGGAAAGTTGAAGAGCAACTGCTTAATCTGGTGGTTGTATTGCTGGTCAAAGTACAGACGAGCCCACTTGACGCACTCCGGAAAGGAGGTGGTTCGCTCAGTGAGCACCTTCTTCACCGCCTCCAGGGTCTCCACGGGCTGATTGCCGCTCAGCTTGCACGTTCGGTCGAGAAACTGAGGATCATTCAGGTAGAGATAGGCCTGCTCGGCCGACTGCTTGAACAGTCCCTCAAAGTCATCGCGGGCCCATTGCAGAGTGTGCTCAATGGCATTGGGGAAGTTCTTCAGCGTGCACATGGGAATTGACTTTTCGGGTGGATCGTGAGAGGACGAGTACGACTCGGAGAGATTGGGAATCACCACTTGAACATTTCCCTTGGTGCCTATTTGGGAGAAGGAAAGGAAAACAATTAAATTGAAACGTCTTAATTACCAAAGTGATAGTAATACACGGTCGTACCCAAAGTGCCCGATTCGAGAAGGGGAAGTCGGTAGTAGACGCATCGCCGGTCCATGTACGTTCGAGCTTCCACATTGTCCAGAGCATTGGCAACGCCGCTGAGAGAGTCAAAGAAAGTATCATCATAGACCTTCTCCGTGTCAGGGCAAACGCGGTTCTCATGCGGCGTGATCTTAATCTGCGGATTCATTTTTATGGTCGCAGCGGCAGCCGCAGCTGACTTCAGACTGCCCACATCCTTCGGTCGAAAGAGAAACTGTCTGTTCAGATTCGACTTTTCAATGGTGTCCATGTCGGTGACAAAGAGCTGGCCGTTGTTGCCGGTCGCAACGCCGAGCATTGCAAAGTGCTTCAGATGCTCACAGCCAATGGCGCCAGCGCCGACCAGAAAGTAGCGCAAATTGGCCAGCGTCTCCTGGAACTTCTGACCGAAAACGGCCACCTGACCATCGTACCGCGAGTTGGTAGGCGCGGCGTCTTCTTCCGTTGGTAGGAACGCCTCATCGGTTGGCAAACATTCAGTGGCGTCAAAGTAGAACCACTGCTGAATTGGTGAGAACTTTCCGGAGCAGGCCTTCATTACTTCTTGCGCAGCACAGCCTCCGATGACTGAGTTGACGGGTGCCAGATTGCCGCGAGCCTGTTGAGCGAACAGCTTAGCAAGCTTTTCGTCAATCACATTCTCCTCCACTTGACGCTCGCTGACTAAACCCTGAAGCAACTCGTAAAATGCAGCAGCATCTTCCTTGTTCCACGAGCGTGGAAGCCGGCCGAACTTGGTGCGGTAGCGATCCAGAGCCTGGAAGAACATGTGCTCTTGCAGAGGTCGATCAAACTTGGCAAAGTCAGAGTCGACAAACTGTGGCGCCATGATCGATTCTTTAAGTGGTTTCTAAACAGCGAAAAGGTAGGTAAATATTAAGAAATCAAACGTGTTTGAGTTAAAAAACTTACAAAGTTAACTGTCTTGGGTTGCTTCACTTGAGTGACAGTTCCACCGGTGAGGTAGTCTGAAAACGCAGTAGTATCACCAATAGAGAACTGGCATGGGCCAGTCACCTTGACTTTGAACTCCTTTCCATTGATTTCGGTCATTCCCTTGACTTCGGAGAAGCGGACAACATCGCCGTCTTCCAGGCCATGTCGATGGTCTTCAATGCAGGCCACGACGCCGGCCTTTTCTCGGGTAATGCCAGAGATCAGAACAGAGATGGGGTTCTCGCCGTTGGTGTCGACGACGGTGAAGTTTTCGCCAAAGTCACAGAAGATCTGACCAAAGAGGCCACGAGTGGTGGCGATGATGAGGGCGGTGTTGTTGGTGCGAGCAATCTCAGAGATGCCCAGCTGCTCCACCAGCGGCAAATCGGTGATGACAATGACGGAATAGTCAGCCAGTGCCTCCACACTAATGGGCTGTGTCAAAATGTCCACCTTCACGTAGGGATTAAGCTCGGCAAGCTGAGTGAGTGACTGCTCAGCGCGGTTCAAGCCCAGGCTTTGCTCTCCGAGATAGAACTGCAAACAGAGAAGAATCACCATGTTAGGTTAGAGTTCCCCAAGAAAGTGTGCCTCACCTGAGAAGACAGATCATAGCTGTCAGTGACTTTGGTGTCCTGAAGCGTCACCGACTTGACGCCACCGAGGATGACGTTCTTGGCGATCTCCACTCCCAGGCCGCCGGCGCCGATAATGAGGACGGAGGACTTGGCCATCCGCTGCATGGCCTCGTGGCCGAGCACGTACAGCTGTCTGGAGTAGAGGCTCTCGTCAATCGTTTGACCATCGTGATTCGCGGCACTGTCGTTATCGTTATTGTTCATGTTTCTTTTCATCTTCTTGTTCATCATATCCTCACAGGTGGACAAAGGTGAAGATTCTCTCTTCATGGAGCACAGCAACGAGTGCGAGTGCAACTGCTGGAAGCAATCGGAAAGAGAACAGGAGAGAGAAAGAGAGGCAGAGAGAACGAGAGGCAAGCGGGATCGAGCGAGTTTCTCTTTGTGTGCATTTCAGCCGGTGACGGTGCAGACTAGACTGCTCGTTTGCCTGCACTTGCCTGACTGCAAGATTTTTTGCCGTCCTTTGCAGCGCTGTGAAAGCTACACTTCAAAGCTATACAAGGGGCGGGGATTTTCCTCTCCCTCCTGACAGAACCGGCAGCCCTGCACTGTCGTGTAGTTTTCAAGTCCAGGCAAACTGTCAACTTTTGTTTAGCGACTGCGCATTGTCGATTTTTCGAGAAGATTTGCGGCGTCGCTCACATAAACCATGCACGGCGGCACTTTCAAATGTTTTGAACGTGTAGATCTTGCTTTCGATATTTGCACTATTTTAAAGCTGCCAACTACTACCTCTAGAAGATCGATACTGCACACCACAAAAGGTGGTGCTGAGAGCTTGGATCACTGATGGATTCTCTCTCGCTGGTTGTCTGTTGTGCAAGCATAAAACTTCAAACGCAGACATCTGTGTTTGATAAATGATGGCTCAGTGTGGGTATGCAGAGGCAGCCACACTGAGCCATCAGCGATGATCGATCGGCAGGAAAGAAGACACTTTAATTTATAGCTAGTTGTGTAAACAATAAAAAAGCTGCACCGCTAAACGGTAGTAGTTGTCCAGTGTGTTGTGGCAACTACTTTTGATACTTTAATCATCGCTTTTGCTTCGAGCTGCTGAGACATGTTTTTCATTTTATCTTTTTGCAGAAGTAACCAGGCAACGAACAACGTCGTCTAGACAAACACTGAACTGCACTAAAAGACAAGAAAACGGTTAAAAAATTAATGTGTTTTATTATTATTGCAAATTGGTACAGATGATGAAAGGGAGAAGGAATGAGAGAAAGAGAGAGAGAGAAAGAGCACAGAAGCAGATGAAAGAAACAGATCGAATAACAGAAATAGAAAAAAAGTTCAAAGTTTAGTTGGCCATTGAGCAAACGGTTCGGAGTCCCGGTGAGAGTCGTATCGCCAATTGTGTGGAATTGCTGTACCCGGTTTTGGAAGCGGTAATGGTAGTAGGAAGTGGTAGAAGCGGGTAATTATCCGACTGGGCCCAGACTCGACGGCACATCGAAGCACCATTGAATGAAAAGACTGTTTCATTTTGTCGCAGCCATTTCATGTTTCGTGTTTGCAAAAACATTCAGTTTTCAAGCTTTTGTGGTGCCCAGTTAAACAAAAGATAAAAAGACGGCGTTTAAATGAACACATGGACAAGGAAAGTGCAGGGAAGGGTCACCTGTGTGAGAAAATGTGTGGTCACTGGCTTACAAAGTGAATGTGAGTTGAAGGTCAGAGTGAGTGAGAGAGTGCAAGTGTCAAAGTGTATTTTTAGTGTATTAGGTAATGTGTGAGGTGAAGTATAAGCAAACATTAACAACAACAAGAAAAGAGTAAATAACAACAACGGCAAGGGGAAGACGGCAAAATAGTGACAACTTTGAGGAGGAAGAAGATGAGATTGGTGATGATGATGATGATGATCACACGGCACACGGTGAAAGAGGATATGTACAGGTTTGGTATTGCAGTCTAAACAGGGATGAAAAAGGGGTTGCTGCTGCTGGTAAACCTTTTCTGGTGGTGCTGATATGCCTGCCTTCGGTTGGGGTCGGCCAGAATCGATCGGTTGCAGAATGCGAATGAAAGAACAGAAGTGTTAGTGTACGTGCATGTGTTTGCAGTGTTTGCAAATGTTCTCGCGCAACTGCTGACACCCATGCTAATCAGAAGTTTTTTCTCGACCAAAATTGCTTTTGTTAACGTCAGCAACTTTTCAGCAGAAAATTGAAAGAGGCCCAGAGAGAGGTGCCTCAACTTGTGCAGTGGTCACAAATTGAGGAACTGCTGCTGCTTGCCCACTGGTAATTACCGCTCGCTGCTGTCCTATGCTCATGCAGTGACTATCTT